CATCTGAGGTTCGAAATTTGGATTTTTATGCCTTTAACAACTTAAAATGTTTGTATCACAACATGGCCTCGAAATCACGTAAATTACACGTTAAGCATGCCTCGATATCAATACTTTAAGACATAAATATCAATATTATAAACACAGCCTGGTTTTCAGAAAAACAGCATGCACAACATTTTTATATATAAAAAAAAATATCACATAAACATGTCAGAGCATCAAATAAACACATATCTTTATCACTTACCCAACTATTCATGCTTCAAGCTAACATGAACTAACCCATACTAAGACACAAGAGAAACACAATACCAGAGGCTATAAGCATCCATAATACTGACAACCTATAAATCAACGACTCATCCTATAATTTTCGAAACCTGGCAAAGGTCCGAAGAGGGCTAATACATTCCCGGTTCTAATTGACAGAGTCCTCATTCGAAGACATTGAACAAAATTATATAGCAAGGGAACCTGCTATGGGCATAACTTATCTCGATAACCACATACTGAAACTCTCAACCATCTAGAGTCCGAACTTAACTCTATATCACTAGAGTTCAAATTAAAACCAAGGTGGATAGATCCTAAACCCCAAATCACATCATATCATTTTATCTCAATTATCAGGCCACACTTGAGCAATTTCAAATTCACTTATGAAACTCATACCTGAGTTGGCGCGGCATGACGGAAGCGAGTGGTCATATACATATTATGCAAGTATTTCACATAATTCACACATAACAGTCTATAGAAACGCAACGTGGCTCTGATACCAAACTGTAACACCCCATTTTGATTTAAGAAATAATCCATGGCTTATTCAAAAATCATATTTCATTTCAAAATTCATTTCTCAAAATTAACATTAATAGGGCATTATCTTGTTTCATGTTATAATTGAAACCTCACAGGAATTCATTACCCGGTTTTTCACATGGACCTCATCGTCCAAAAATCATAAAACTCCACATGATATTCAAAATAACACATCACCATGAATATCTAAACATAGTTCATCAATACCAATTAAATAACAAAAACCAGCTTCCAACATTTTCCATGTCATAGTCTGAAAGGAAATAACATGTTCATAACCCAAACAATTCAAGTTCATAAATCCGGGTCAACTTATTCATAATAAAGCGGAAGCAAATTTAACATAATTATGACCATTCACTCGCCATCCCGCCGTTGTACCGCCTTGCTTAACCTAAAACGTTAATTTCAGGTGGGGATGAGCACAGTTGGAAATTGTAGTGCTCACCACTATGCAATAAATCATATACAATAAGAGTTAGGCATGGTTGCAGCATGAACACGAATCAATTAATTATCACATCTCCTAATCATACATTTTTACTCATGTGCACATCTATCATTAGCCATTGAAGGACATACAACTCACAACAATGGGAGTAAAATATTGAAGGACATACAGCTCACATCGGCCTTGCTTGTCATTAGGCTAGAGAGACTGCCTATCAAAAGGCACCGTCAAAGGACATACAGCTCACAATGACGGGGACAACCGCTCGAAGGACATACAGCTTACGACGAGGGTTACATGGTTCACACGCATGCATTAATCACGCCATTCAACAAATGTAAATAATTTATGGCATAGACAATTTTTAAATAAAACCCACCTGGTCGCGAGTAGGAGATATCACAACAGCCCGTATAGGCTGCAAGCTCAGCTCGTCAAGCACCTATATTAAGTGAAGATGCTACAATCAATATCTATCTTGACCTAAAAATTAAAACACAATCATACTTAGTCAAACTTGATTCGACTAAGTTGTTCGTGAAGTCCTGTGGACGTTGGAACATTTAGACTCGACACTAAGACTCAACCAAATCCACCTGCGACTTCACATAATCCAAAACAAAGATTGACCAAGTCAAACACTCAAGGAACGGAAGGCGAGTCGATTTACAGTTTTTAATACAAAAACCATATATTTGAAAATACTAGATTTTAATCACAAAAGCAAATTGGTCAGGTTATCAAATGAGTTAGGCTCTAAAATTTTAACCACAATTGCACCTCCCAGAACTTAGTAAAACCACAAACTTTCAGCCCCAAACTCAAAGTATGCTATTTTATAAAATTCGAGAAAGTTTATGGCAATAACGAGCATAAATTAACAACCATACCAAATGAATGATTCACACTCTGAAATTTTTATCCAAGGAACCTCAGCATGTGATTACAGTGTGTAAGAATCTCAACTTTAAACACCTAACATGCGATTTAATATAATTGTTACAATATTTAGCAGATTTCAAATTTTCAACAGAATTGAACCTAAATGAACTCTAAAAATTTCAATATTTTAACAGCATGAAATACATCAAAAACAAGTACTTCAACCAAATATCATAATTTTAAAACATCAGATTAATTTATCATAATTAAAACAATGATCGGAAGAATCACAAAATAAATTATTTACCTAAGCTCAGAGTCCAAAAATTCTGAAACTTTTACACAACCTAACAACATGCCAGAGACACAACATACTAGAATTTCTGCTAATTTGGAGCACTACACAATTTTATATGCATTTAACACAAATCTGGACAGAAAATAATTTAATTAATTAAATTAGCTACAGGCCGAGAAAAATTATGAAATTTTTACACGAGCCTTATATTCAGCAGAGAACATACCCCTTAAAATTTCAAGGAAAAACAAAGAGTATACAATTTTTAAAAATTTAATACTAAAATAGCGAGTATACAAGTTCCATAATTTCACATATGACTCATAACAAATAATTCTCGTCCGAAGCCTTCCCATAAGGCCAAGGACTCGACATGGTTCCAAAATCCATAGTCTTACACGAGTTTTGAGGTTTCACTCGATTTCTCAAAATCGAAGTGATCCACAAAAGAAAACCAGCACATTGAACCGAAATTTTCACATAACATCATAATGTGTATATTAAATCGCAAGGCATGCTTAACACGTCAAAATAAACGCATAACACAAACGATACACATGATTTAACGAGACGGGGTTCGACTAGGTACCGTTCTCGAGAAAAGCTCGAAAAAACAGAACGAAGGACACGAACGGGGACGACGATACACATGATTTAACGAGACGGGGTTCGACTAGGTACCGTTCTTGGGAAAAGCTCAAAAAAATAGAACGAAGGACACGAACGGGGACGACAGACTCGACGGATTCATGCATCTCGCCGAGAAATGAGGAGCAGCGGCGGCTGTTGGAGGCTCGCCTGGCTGGGATGCTCCGACGTAGAGGAGATGCTTGTCGGACTAGTTCACAGTTAGGGTTCGGCGAGGAGCAGCGATAGGGCTACGTGATGATGCTCGCCAGAAAGAGAATTGGCCGCGGCGGAGAGTCGGGGTTCACGGTAAGGCTGAGGGTTGCGGCGGAGGATCGCTGCAGAGGAGAAGGCCTTATCTTCGGAGAAGAAAAGCTCACCGGTGATGCTTCGCATGAACAGGGGTTGTCGGAGGGGACCGCGGCATTGCTGCGCGCGACTGTGGGTGGTGGTTCGCGGTGGTCTGAACAGGCAGAGCAGCGGCGATGACGCGCAGAAGAGAGAGCTCGCCGGAGGTGATGGCCGCGGTTCGGGGATGGCTCCGCTCGCGGCAGCGTCGGAACTGCTCGCGAAGGAGGACGGCGAGAGGATGGTGATGATGCTGAAGGGTGATCGAGAAAAGCAACGGGAGAGGGATGGCGACGGGAAAATCTCTTTGCATGAGGGAGAGGAAGAGATAGACGGAAAATTCTATATTTTTCTCTTTTGTTGTGTGATCGAGCGAGAGAGTTTGGAGAGGGGAAAAAGCTGCGGTGAGTTTACGACGAGAGATCAGATTTCTCTTGTGTCTGCGAGCGATGAGAAAAGCTGCAGGGGTGAGGGTATTGATCGAGCGAGATATAAGAGAGAGGTATAAATGCTAGGGCTAAGGTCTTGCCTCAAAAGACACAAACCCACACACTAAAGGGGTGGACCGAGTCGGCAGTTCGGTCGGTTGGGGCGCACGTCCGGGTCACAGGTTCTCGATTTTTTATAAGCCCAGGCTCTCAGGCTTGATATACGGTTCGGCTTAGCCAATAAAAATAGCTCGGTTCGCTCGATTTGATCACACGATCAATTAGATAAAAATCCTGACATACATATAAATATTTAATACACACATTAAATAATTACTAATAATACACATTTAGGCATTTAATTGAAATAATAATAATAATAATAATAATAATAATAATAATAATATTGATAATAATAATAATCCCAATTAATCCACGAATAAACGGGGCGCTACAGGAACCATCTTCATCAACCAAACTCCCAGAAGAGAATGTGAGGGGTGAAGGGAGTGACTTTAATGTAGCCTTAATACCTATGAATAATACAATGTATACAGGGGAGGAGATGGAGAACCAACAAACTAGTGAGCATGTAGGTAGAAGCAGAAGGAGGGTGGTGGTGGAGGATAGAGGAAGTGTGAAGAAGAATGGTAAGAAGGTAGCCACTGAGGTAGCAGAAGGAGAGTAGGTGGATTCCACAATTAAACCACAGAAGGAGAATGTCAGAGCTCAAAGTGGGAATATGACTGTTACTGTGTCAAGGAGGAAGGGGCAAGTCAGAGGAAGACTCAACAGAACAGATAGCCCCATGGAGATTGTTCCAGTACAAGGTAAAGGGAAGAGACAAAGGCAGTTGTTTGAGCAGACAACAATCCAAGAGAGCATGCACTAAATCAAAGACTGAGAAGGAAGAACAGGTTGGAGTAGCCAGCCTTGAATGGCCCCAAATAGATAAATGAAGACAATGTTATGGAACTGTAGAGGTCTGGGAGGACCCTCTACAGTTTCCCAGATAAAGGAAGCCATTGAGGCCCATCTCCCCAGTTTTGTGTTTTTATCTGAGACTAGAAAAACAAAATTTTTCATGGAAACAGTATGTAAGAAGTTGGGGTTTGCTGAGAGAAGAGTAATAGTTGAGCCTATGGGTTTGAGTGGAGGTTTAATGCTATTGTGGAACAGAGATGTGGAAGTCTTGCAAATAGTTAAACATAATTTTTGTATCCAAGTGAAGTATAAGACAAAGGATGTGGATTGCCCTGAGTGGATGATATTTGTGTATGGGAGTACAGACAATCACATCAGGTAGTTGCAATGGAGGGCATTGGAGATGGACAAGGGATTATGGGGAGATAAGTGGTGCATTGGGGGAGACTGGAATGCAATTAGGCGTAATAGTGATAAGAGAGGAGGAAGGGTTAGACCTGAGAGGAGCTATGATACTTTTAATGCTTTCTGTGCCAATATGGAAATGATGGAGGTCAATATGGAGGGATACCCTTATATTTAGGGTAACAACAGGCAAGGTGAAGGCTTTGTGGAGGAGAAAATTGACAGGGTCTTTGGTTCTTTTGCTTGGGTTTCTTCTTATTCAGGAGCAAAAGTCACTTCTCAGATTAGGAGTGTGTCTGACCATTCTATGTTAATATTGGATTCTGGCTGCCAAAAGGCTAAGTTCTTTACGAGATTTGTGTTTGATAAAAAGTGGCTGAAAATGGAGAGGTGTGCTGAGGAAGTTGAACAGGCTTGGGGTGAGGAAGTGGATGGGAATCCAATGGTGCAGGTTAGAGCGAAGATAAAAAGAACAAGAATGGATATTATCAAATGGAACAAAGTGTTCAAATCAGACAATGCCCAGAAGAATCAGACTCTGACTTTGAGATTAGAGGAGACGAGGAAGTTAGGGGGTCAAAGAAATTGGGAGGAGTGGGAGAAGATCAAACAAGAGCTAGACCAATCACATTTATCAGAGGAAGTTTTCTGGAGTCAAAAGGCAAGACTGCAATGGCTGAGGGAAGGTGACAAAAATACTAAATTTTTTCTTGCAATGACTATGCAGAGAAAAAAGAGGAATGCTATTGATAGATTAGTTGTGCCGCAAATTCAAGTGTTGGATTCTCATAAGCAGATTGAACTTGTTATCATAAATTTTTACCAGCAATTGTTTGAATCAAAAGGATCTTTGGGGGAGTCTGAGGTGTTATCCTTAATTCCTCAGTCAATCACTGAAGCTATGAATGATGCTCTAATAGCTCCAGTAGAGGAAGATGAAGTGAAGGCTACTCTGTTCTCTATGAACCCAAATAAGGCTCTAGATAATGATGGCATGACCCCTCTTATTTATCAGCATTTTTGGCCTATTCTAGAAGAGGATCTTTGTGTTGCGGTTGCATATTTTTTTTTTTGAATCTGGGAGAATGATAACTAGCTGTAACCATACTGTGGTTACATTGATACCAAAGGTTGAAAATCATGTCTCAATTAATCACTTTAGACCAATTAGTCTATACTGTGTCTCATACAAAATTGTGGCTAAAATTTGGGCTTCTAGAAGGAGAGACTGTCTTCAATTCTGCATTCATGAAACTCAATCTGCATTTATACCTGATAGACAACTTCTTGATAATGTGGTGATTGCACATGAGGTGATACACTTTCTGAATAGACACAGATCTGATAATAAGTGTTTTATGGCAGTAAAGCTAGATATGATGAAGGCTTATGACAGGGTGGAGTGAAATTGTGTGGTGAAAACAATGCTATAGATAGGTTTTCATAGAACTTTTGTTCAGTGGATATTTGCTTGTGTTTCATCTGCAGTCAATTCCTTTAATGTTAATGGGAAGGTATCTGGTTTTGTGACTCCTTCAAGGGGTATCAGACAAGGGGACCCACTGTCCTCTTTGTCTTAATTTCAGAAATATTTTCCTGGTTGATCAGAAATGCTGTGAGGGAGGGGGATATGCAGGGGCTGAAAATGTGTAGAGGTGGGACTACTTTATCCCACCTCTTATTTGCTGATGATACTTTAGTATTATGTGCTGCTGATGTACCAAATGCTTTGAGTCTTTTGAGGATACTTGCAGTCTATCAAACCTTTACAGGTCAAAGGGTGAATCTTGCCAAGTCAAATGTGTTTTTTAGCCGAAATGCAAGTGAGGTGGATAAACAGGGGGTTTGTCAGGCTTTGAATGGGATTGCAGTGTGTTCTTCTACCAGGTATTTGGGATTGCCAATGGGGTTGGGGAGTTCTAAGAAAGAGGTTTTCAATTTTGTTCTGGAAGGTGTAAAGAAGAGAATTGATAGCTAGACTAATAAATTCTTATCAAAAGCTGGGAAGGAGGTATTGATGAATGCTATTATAAATGCTCTTCCACTATTTGTTATGTCCTATTTTTGTCTGCCTGTTAGCATTTGTAAAGAAATTGCCAAGATGAGTGTTGAGTTCTGGTGGGCTGGAGGTGCTGAACAGAAGAAAGGGCTTTGCTGGGTGGCATGGAAGAAGGTCACTTTACCCAAAGAATCTGGTGGACTGGGGTTTAAGGATGTTAGAGTGTTTAATGACTCTTTAATCCTTAAACAGATCTGGAGGCTACTAACAAAACCTAACACACTGATGACCAGAATTTTGAGGGAAAAGTAATTCTCTGCTGGGTGTGTCTTGGAAGCAAAAACCCATAGCTCTACATCTTGGCTCTGGAACTTCTGGATGAAAGTGCTAAATATATACAGGCAAGGAAGCAGAAGGGAGGTGAAGGATGGTTTGAACCATAGTTTTTAAACCCGGCCCGGTGATCGACCCGGGCAGGTCCTCGGGTCACCGGGTCAATTGCTGAATTGGATAATTAATTTTAAAATTTATAAAATTATATATAGAGTATTTTTGTTATATAAATATACAAAATAGTAACAAAATTAAATGTTTTGTGTATAAAATTTGTTTATTAAAGTGTTAATAATATGTATCTCATGATAAATATTTACTATATAAACATATATACATATTTTTATTTTTAAGAAACAAAAAAAATAAAAAAAAAATATATAAAATATATATGGACCGGGTCAATGCCCCGGGTCGGCCGGGTCTCTGCCAGGTCGGCCGGGTTTTGACCGGATTTGATCAGGTCCTTGGTTGCCCGGTCCAAATACTCCACCCGGACCGGTTCCGGCTCTGGGTCGACCGGGTCCCGGGTCGACCCGCCGGCCGGTCCGGGTCTCAAAACACTGGTTTGAACACTAAGATCTTGTCTTATCCTTGGGTTGATGGGTTACCTTCTGAGAAGCCAACTCTGAGAGCAGAGGTGACAGAACTACAGCTACAATGGGTGAAAGAGTTGCTGACAGAGGATGGTATAGATTGGGACAGAGATATTGTCCACAGCCTATTTACTGATGACTCATGTAAAGCTAATCTAGAGATGAAAGACCTAGATCCTACTGAAAAGGTAGATGCAAAAGGTAGATTTACTGTCTCATCCGCTTACTCAGTTGCAGTTAGGAAGAAAATTCTAAGCCTTGACCTGCCTGGTTGTAGTTCATCTGTAAATCCTGACAAGAAGGCTAGAATGAGATGTTGGAATTCGAGGGTGAAGGGAAAGCTTAAACATTTTCTTTGGAGATGTTTTACAAATAGCCTGCCTGTCAGTGCAAATCTGAGAATTAGAAGAATGCAGGTAGATCATGTTTGCCAATGTTGTGGGGAAAGTGCATAAACTGTTGAGCACTTGATGTTCAATTGTTCCAGAGCAGTTTAGGTGTGGGGTTTGCACCTGTATCTTAGGATGGTGCTACTGTTCCTGTTTCCAAATTCAAGTACTAGTGGTGGAGCATAGCAGAAATGAATAAGTCACCAACATCTAATGCCCGGATCCAATTGTCGACATATATACTATGGTGGCTTTGGAAATAGTGTAACTTATGGGTCTTCCAAAAGGTGTGGATGCTGGAGTCGGTAGTTGCTCGGAATGCTGTGAAGGAATGGTCAGAATTCAGTCCCTGTAGTGTTTGATTTGGTTTTTTTGTTGTTTTTAGTGTCGGGGCTAGGTTCTTATGTTCAGTGGCCTCATATTAGTATTGTTGTTTGGACTTGGTTCGATTGTTTCTGTCTGTCTAAAGGGGTCAAATCCATGCATTTGCCTTCAGGCGTCTTGTACATTTTGTTTTTTGTTGGTTTGTTTTTGTAATCCACCGACGGAGTGGTTCGCCATGGTTTATGTTTTGTTTTCTCCGGTATGAGCTAGTGTGCTCTTCGGGTTGTAATCGAACTATGNAAAGAAAAGACCTAGGACAGGGGAAAAAGAAATGAAAAACACCAATGAAAAATGAAACAAAAATAGGACAAACAGCTACGGCCTCGGCAAGGGCTGGCGATGGACGTGCGAGCAGGGGCTTCGGTGGTCGATCTCGGTGAGTGAGGGTGACCAGGGTTTTCTGCTCGCAGATAGGGGTGCGGTTGTTGGGCGTCGAGCTTGGCCTGGCATCGTTGGCGAGGCGTGGTCTACTCACGGAGGGTAGTGAGGGAGGGCCGACCAGTGGCCGGTCGATCTCGGTAAAGGGCATGACAAGAGGTTGTTCGACGTGCTGACGAAAGGAGTGGGGTCGATTTGATTGCCGGGGGTCGTCTGGCGAGATGGCATGCGTCGGGCGATGGGATGCTGGCGTGCGAGCGATGATGTGCGCGGGCGATAGCGGTTGTGGAAGGGTGGTGCGGCCGAGAGAGATGAGGGATTTGAGGGTTGACTTGTCTCAGTTTTTTGAGACGCGAGGAGGGTTAGAAAAATTCAAAACTTTCTTTAGAGAGAGAGAGCTAATTGGCGTGAAGATGTGAGGAGTGGAGGGGCGAGATAGCCTTAAATCTCAAGGCAATCAAATTGGTATTACTTGCCATGTTTATGATCCTTAATTGGTACCAAATGAGGCTCAAAATTCCTGAATAAGGGGGAAGGAGATCTGACCCAATGCTACCAAAATTAGCATGAGAAATTTTTGAATTTCAAATACAAAAGAGAGTTTAAAAATTTTCTAAGGCAAAGACTACAAGTACATGCTTAGGACCGATTTTGCACAAGGTTCGAGCTGGGTCTTGGGCCAAAATGGCATCATAAAAGGCTGAGAGTAATGGCTTCTAAGGTCTGGTTCAAATGTCTCAAAAACGAGTCAAAAATGGCTCTACGTGATTGAACCGAAAATCGCCGAACGATTTAACTAATAAAAGAATTAAATCTAACTAAACCAGTTACATACACATAAAAATAAAATTAATTGCTTAATATATAAGGGCAATGCAATCAAAATAAATGAGGCAATTCACACAAAAAATGATCAATTAAAAATAATTAAAATGCAAGCAGAATATATCATGAAATAAAAGCAACACTTATGCAATACAAGCAAGTAAGATAAATAAGCCCGTCATGTCATAATAATAGAAATTAAATCACATATATAAGATGAGCACATGGAAATAATAAATCCTAGAAATAATAGAATCAAGTAAACGATAAAAAGATGCAAGCAAGCAGAATTATAATAATACTAAAAATTACATAAATAGAAAGGGACGCTACAATCTACCCTCCTTAAAAGATTTTCGTCCTCAGAAATACAATGGAAAAGGAATCCCCAAAGGGACAACAGATGCAAGAGAGAAGTCCAATCCACGAAGCTCGGATACTCCGTCGAATCTTATCCTCGCTCTCCCAAGTCGCATCGCACTCGCCCCGGCGACCCCGCTGGACTTTGACGAGTACCCCTTCTGGACATTCCCTGATGGGCTCTCTAATCCATTAGGTCACCGGTACCTCAACATAGGTAAGGTTTTGCCCACATGCAGCTCATCAAAGTTCGCCACGTGCCCCGGAGTCATGCACATGTCCCCTATCCACGAGGCAGAACATGTCGTGCACTCCCGCAAGTTTCGGTGGTGGAGTCAACCGTCGCGCTAAGTCGTCGACTCGGTCGAGAATCCCAAAAGGACTGGTAAAGTGTGACTGCGGCTTCCTCTCTTTTCAGATCCGAGGTGTACAACACCTTTATCAGTTCCCAAAACCTCATACGGTACTGTTTGTCCCATTTTTGTTGCGTTTTTCTTTTTTATTTTTCATTTTTTCCCCCATAGGTCTTTTAGTTGGTTTTTAGTTCATTTTGTAGTTTATTTCGTGTTTTCATCTATTTAGAGTCATTTTAGTTTTTTTTTGGTTGGTTTTCCGTTTTCTCCGTTTTTCTTATCGTTTTTGGAGTACAAGTCGAGAGTCTCTGGAGGATAGGGTATCAAGAAAACATTAGTCGGGCAAGCGTAATTAAATACAAAAGTTCGTTGGCAACACACAGGAAAAAGCAGAACCAAAATTCGAGTCCAAAAGAGCCCAAACGAGCCTGAGACACGAAGTAGTGCGAGTTGTTCACCAGCCTGCACAGGCCCCGCGAGCGCGACGCGTCGCGCCGGGTGCCACGAGCTCGACAGAGAATACAGGTTATGTGCACCCCGCGCTGTGGTAGCTAACGTGCCGCGGCATCATACTTCCCTCGCGCTGCGGCAGACAGCGCGTCACGGCACCTACTACACCATACGCCCAGCACCGCGCCGTGAAGCCCTATCCTGCTGCGTCGCGAAGCCCCTACACGCCGCGACACACTTGTGCCTAGAAGACTTGCCACGAGCGCGCCACTCCATCACGCCGCGACATCCATCATCTCCCCACCGTGTCGCACTAGTCCCGCGCCGTGGCACCCTGACCTATATAAATATGTGCACGATCTCTTCATTTTGGGCTGGGTCCTTCTAGGGTGAAAATTCTAGGTCGGGAAAAGTATCACGAGCACTCTTTTCTCGTCTTTTCCTTCCTTGTTCTTCTTCATTTTTCTTCCTCTCTTTCACCTTTCTCTTTCATTTTTATTCTTCTTTTTATTATTATCAAGAATTAAGCTTTGTATTTTGGGATTCAACACTTGGATTGAGATTAATTGTAAGTAGTTCTTTCTCTTATTTAATTCATGAATAATGGTTGATTTGAGAGGAATGATTATGTGTGTTGAATTTGATATACGTAGCTAATTCTGATTGCTAGGGATAAGGGATGATTGTTCATGTTTAACGTGTATTTTTGGACTTGATTTGTTCGTTCTTATGTGAGTTAATTTGATTAAGGATTGATGAACTCTTGCTTGATTGATTGATATAATCAAAGAGTGACACTTTGATCTTGCAACTGGTATCAATTGAACGTTAATTTGTCGAGTTAGGGTTTGTTGATTCTATATGATTAGTTGATTAAACACCTTCTAATTGAATTAGCGACTTTTAAAGCCGGAAGGGGAGAAGTCATAGACCTAGGCTCGCTTGAGGTAGATAATGTCGTAATTTAATAGTCTATTGGTTCTGGATTGAAATACGTGTTTGTCGATGACCCGCTCCTTGTTACGAAAAGTTATTGGGAATGGGATAATTGGCATGTGTTGTATGCTCGAGCTTGTTTGTCTATGTTCAATCCCTTGTTACAAAGAGTTATTGGGAGCGAACCGCTAGGTGACTAAGCGAGAGTGTCAATCTCGAACCGAACAATTAATTGCCCGATTTACTAAAAGAACTTGAATTAATTATCCCCGACTCCCTAGCTTCTTTTTCATCGTTTCATTTATATTTTTAGGTAGATTCATGCTTTTTATTATTTCTTAGTTGATAATTATTCAAACCCCACTATCTGATTAGAGTGTGTAGGATATTTGGTTTTGGTATTAGTGTTATTTTCCGTGTTTCTCTTTATTTTGTATTTTTCTGTTTTCATTATTTCTTTTGTGCATCTTTGTTTTTCTCTTTGTTTTTGTTTTTGTTTTCTTTTTTCTCTCTTTTCGTGGCTATGTGTGGTTGTTATGTTTTGGTGCGCAGGTATTATGAACTTCAACGTGCCTTCCCCTATCCGCACACCCAATCTTGGGTTAACGAGCCAAGCTATCATGTCAGGTACCACAACCAGTCATATTCATACTCTTCTGAGCAGTACTGGGATCCCTACCCAGTCAGCAATCTTATGAGTCCTACGAATTCAACGAAAAACTCGACCGTATCTATACTTTCGCAGCATCCCGATTAGCTCAGGAAGAAGAGACCGCAACCCAATGTGCCCGTCTAAATCAACCACCTTCATCCCACGATTCTTGGGACTATGGTCAGACTTAGACATATCCTTATGTGCAGCAGTGGGATTACGAGCCTGTTAAGAAATCATACGAGCCCCTCGAGGACTCCTCAGAGTACAATGCAAAGCTTGATCAGAACCTCGCTCTTTTGTTATACCAGGCGGCCCGTAGGAACAATCTTGAGTCCAGAATCAAGAACCTTGTGGAGCACGTGCAATCCTTAGAGGATCGAGGTACCAATTTCTCTCCCGAGACCACCGCTTAAGGCGAATATACACATAGGAATGAACCTCAGTAGGTTGCTTTGACATACAATGAAAAGTTGGACCTCATCCTTGATCGCATATCTACCCAGACCACTCGAGATGTGGAGATTGAGCTCGGATTTGCTCGACTGGGCGCAAAAATAGAGATTCGTACAGCGCATATCGACTCAATCGAGGCACAAGTCGACGACCCCACTTTATGCTTGATATTCAAGCCCGTATAATGAAGCAAATGAGTGTGGCCGAAGAGGAAGATGATGAGCTCCAGCGAGACGTTGATGATATTTCAGAGGGAGGGGATCTAGGGGCTTGATACTCAAGTCCCTCCTCCCACCTCCGAGTTGGAGCATCCGTCTCTGAGGCCGCTACACTGTGTTACAAAGTGGGTAGGATTCAGTTTGACTTGCTCCACAGATGAGCTTATACTTTCGGAGGTTGACGACAGAGCTCGGGTGAGAAAAGCTCTACGTCTAGAATTGAGGATTGCTCGTGCCCGTACTTGCTTCATTCAGAAGATAGCCACCCAGATTCACCATGCCCGCCTTCTTACCACATTGCCCATGATTCCGCTTCTTGAGAATACAAAGGCGTGGCATGAATGCCACTTCTTTTTGGATTCTGGTTGATTCGTGTATAGGTTTTGTCAAGCTAATGACGTTAAACAAGCGCTTCTTGGGAGGCAACCCAAGTGATTTACAGCTTTCTTAGTTCTTTTCTTTTTGCTTTTTTGTTTTATCTTTGAATAATTGGATTTTGGAGTTATGTGTTTTTCTTGGAAGGTACGAGTTAGCGAGCTCGAGCAGGAGGATTGTGTTGAATGAGGATTACCGAGGTTTTGGGCTGAGCATAGGCGAGCGGCTTGCACGTGAATGCTTACTCTCCTCGATACACTTCGGTTTGCACACCCTTTTCTTTTTTATCTTTTTGAGTTGTTTCTTTCCCCTATCTTTTCTTTTGAGTTTTGTGTTCTGGTCCTAGCTGCTAGTATTGGTTCGTTATATGAAATTGCTAGGTCTTTTATTTGACTTCCTGGTTTGGTGTTGAAGTAATTATGACATTGCCTCATTTTAAGTGTGGGGGAGTTTATTTGGATTTTGCATGCTTATATGGTAAACCAGTCTAGTTTTTAGGTTTTTGTTTTGTTAACCATGTGGTACTGGTGAATTATATGATGTGTTTGATGAATGTTTAATAAAATTGGAAAGTTGTGATGACGGACATGTGGTCATTGCCTCGGTATATGCTTGATTGCTTTGAGTAACATCTATTTGCCTTGTGAGGTTTTGATCCTTACTCTTCTTTCTTGTGAGATATTGATCGTTTTCCTTAATGATTAGAACTTGCCTTGAGTATTTTTGAAAGGAATCGATTAGAGTTTGAAATTGCGAAAGTGATTGAGGCGTTTTGTTTGATTAGCTCTCTTTAG